TGATGAAATAGAGTACTCCATACCTCCTAGGGCGGTACTATTCATTAGTGAAGCAGATGATTATACTACTATACATGAGAATGTTCTAAATCATGTTAGAGGCGACGGATTTTCCGAAATTAAATTAATTTACGGAAAATTGCCAAAATATAAGAACTCTGTATATGTTGCTTCTAGACTATGGCCCATTCACGATGAGCAGACATGGCGTCATTTTTTCCGGATCGCTAAAAATGAGTATGAGGAGTTGCACATTTACGTGGAAGCTTCAGCGACCCCGCCACAAACTTTGACGTTCCACGGAACTCCCAGAGAGGAAGGCCCATCATCCGTATATGGTCGGAGGAACAACCGCCAAACGTTTCAGAACTACGAATCTCCTAGTATGTGTTGTTCAAGTTAAATAGAATTTACAATGATTTGGTTTTATTTGTTGTCATTTTAAGAGTGTAGAAGTAGTTAATTTAGTAATTTGTAAATCTTTTAATTTTGATTGTTAAATAGGAATTTCAGAGTAAAAATTGGCTATCTGTCTGTCTCATCTGCACAAATTCAATACTTCTATCTAATTACACAAGAAACACATTCTAGTTCAAATAAATGAAATAACCGGAAGTGGAAGTGGAATTTTAAAAAAAATTAAAACTTTATCTCCTGTCGGAACACCCAAATCCGACGAGAGCACAAAAAGTTTTTATTATTCAAATAAACTTAAAATTTGTATATAGCACATAAAATTTCAAAACTCCTGTCGGAACACCCAAATCCGACCAGAGCACAAAAAGATTTTATACTTCAAATAAACTTAAAACCATAATTTTATTTTATTTTAAATAGTGTGTTACAAGGAATTGTGTTCAATTCTAGAAATTCAAGAATTGTGTTAAATTAATAATTTGTCCCAAATAATAATATTGAAATTTATGAATGTATCTACTTTGTACAGTCACAAACTTGGGTGAAGAGTCGGACGACCCAGACTATGAACAAGGTTTTAGTAGTGATGTCGATTCATCCACGAGCGATGATAGTGACGACGTAGTAGACACCACCTGGGCTAATGTGGAGCTAGAAGAACCATATGTTCAAGCATTAGATTCTGAGCCTGAAAGGATCGAAGTAGGCGCAGTTTACTGTTCATATGATGCACTGAAAGAAGCGGTGGCGAGAGAAAACATTCGTCAATTTCGTCAATTCAGAACGGTTGACAAAAGGCTACGGTCCTGGAAGGCGGTTTGCATAGACCCGACCCTTTGCACTTGGCATATCCAAGCAGGAGAAGGTATGACGTCAAAAAAGTGGAAAGTAAAAAAATATCAACCCCATCACAGTTGTAGGGAGGATCCTGTCATGGCTCGGGATGACAGGCTCCTAACGGCCAAAATTATAGCCAGTGAAATCGCTCCAAAAGTGAAAGTCGACCCGGACTACAGCATTAAACTGATAATGTCAGACATATATGAAAATTTTAATATCCGTGTTTCTTATAAAAAAGCTTGGAATGGATGCTTGATCGCTCTGGAGCGTAAATTCGGCAATTGGGAGGCATCATATAATGAACTTCCTATGTTGTTGGAATCTATACAGTTTTCAAATCCGGGGACTGTTGTTCATTTGCAATCACAACAGGCCGGCACTCCTGATACGTCTGAATTCCGCCGAGTGTTCTGGTCATTCAAGGCTTCTATAGACGGTTTTAGATTTTGCTTACCCGTAGTCTCGGTTGATGGCACTCACTTATATGACAAATACAAGGGAGTTCTTCTAGTTGCGGTAGCCATGAATGCTAACCGTGAGATATTTCCTCTTGCATATGCTGTTGTTGAGAGTGAGAATGCTGACAGCTGGTCGTGGTTCTTTGCAAGGGTTATGCGTGATGTGGTTGGAAATCACCGTAGTGTGTGCATTATCTCTGATCGTCATGCAGGAATTTAAAGTGCATTTAGAGCCTTGCGAGAGTTGAGATCGCCACAAGTTTCAATGCGTGATTGCCTCCATCACATACGGAGTAATTTCATGACCAAGTTTAGGAACGCGGAACTGAAAAAATTATGTTGGCAAGCTGGTAGCACTCCCACAGAACAGGAATTTCACGACTGTATGCAACAAATACGAGACATAAATGAGAGTGCTTTTCTATATTTGAATGAGATTCCTGTTGAGATGTGGGCCCTGAGCTATGACGATGGCAAAAGATATGGCATTTTGACGACAAACCTTTCTGAAAGTTTTAACAATGTCTTAAAGGGATGCCGCACATTGCCTATCACAGCACTAGTAAAGGCCACATTCGATAAAGTCGTCCAACTATTTGCCGATCGACGAAATGCGGGAATAATGTGGCACCAAGCTGGATTCTTGTATCCACAGAACGTATGGAAGGATGTTCTTGAGCGGTCACAGCGTAGGTATCACACAACTATTGTCCCGCACAATCGAACAACGGGAATTTACTCTGTAGCTATTGGTTCGCATGATCCAGTGACAATCGATCTGACAAGGCAGGAATGTGGGTGTGAGTATTGGAAGCAGAACGGGATGCCATATGTTCACGCGTATGCGGTTTGTCGGTTTTTAAAAATAACCGTAGACAGCCTCATCCCAGCTGTGTATTCCTTAAATGCTTACATCCGAACGTACGCTTCCGATATTATGCCTATTAATAATTACCTCAATTTCATGGCAGAAACATCGCATACACTTCTCCCGCCCCCAAACAATAGATCGGCTAGAGCCGGTAGGCCACAGAGAACTCGATTTCCTAATGAAATGGATTTGCGTGCTACAAGGAGAGGACATGAGTAATATTGTAATGTATACCTTGTTGGGTTTTTTGAACTAATGAAATATTTGTTCTCTTTGTTGGAGTTATTGAATTTTTTAAGTTTGCACAACAACTATAATTAGATAAAGTTTAATCAGATAACTATAATCAGATAAGTTCTGTCAAATAAAATTTAATCAGATAAATATAATCAGATAAATTTAATTACATAAAATGTAATCATATAAATATAATCAGATGAGTTCAATCAGATAAAATTTAATGAGATAAATATAATCAGATAAGTTCAATTAGATAAAATTTAATCAGATAAATATAATCAGATAAGTTCAATCAGATCAAAATTAGATAATTCCATATTTATTCCACATTTGTACAAAAAATAAACTCTAAACCACCAAAGAAACACAATAAGGGCTCGGATCCCTATCGCACGGCTGTTATCAAAAGAGGAGGGGCTTGGATCGGAATCGGAGGGCGGTAAACGGATACCTCCAGTCGGATTTTGAAGATCCGACAACAATAAAATTTTAAAAAAATTGTTTTACGGATACTAACTTTATCAGCTACTATCACACGGTTCAAGGAAAAAGCAGAAGTGTGGACCAAGAACTTTATTTAAGAAGTGTGGAAGAAGTGTGGACCACTAATTACTCAACACCAACTTTTATTTAATGGATCAAGAACTCCCAACTAATTTTTTTTATATAAATAGAGCTGAGCCAGTTGGATCAAGAATCCCCACTTAATCCCAAGCAAGAGCACCTACTAGCAAATCAAAATTTGTGATCTGCCAAATTTCCAGGTTAGTTAATTTTCGGTTTTAGAAGTGTAGAAGTAGTTAATTTAGTAATTTATAAATTTTTTAATTTAGATTGTGAAATTAGACTTTTAGAGTAACATTTAGCTATAAAATACTTGAAAGTTAGAAAGTGTGTAACATTTAGAATTTCCCTTAAATTTCGGTTTTAGGAGTGTAGAAGTAGTTAATTTAGTAATTTGTAAATTTTTTAATTTACATTGTGAAATTCGAATTTTACTCTTTAATTTTAACTTTTTATTATTTATAATAGTTGAAATTGTAGATGTTTAGAAATTGCGTTAAATTTAAATAGTCGAATTTAAGATTTTAATTTTGCAATTATAGTTATTTCGAATTTCAAAATTACTAGTTATTTTGGTAACTTTTAAGATTTTAATTTAGATTGTGAATTTAGAATTTTACTCTACATTGTGAAATCGGAAGTTTAGAGTTGTACTTAGCTATGAGAGGTATGGAGTACTCTAGATAATCATCTCCTTCACTAATGAATCCCAAGCAAGAGCACCTACTAGCAAATCAAACCTTTGTGATCAGCCAAATTTCCAGGTTAGTTAATTTTCGGTTTTAGAAGTGTAGAAGTAGTTAATTTAGTAATTTATAAATTTTTTAATTTAGATTGTGAAATTGGACTTTTAGAGTAACATTTAGCTATAAAATACTTGAAAGTTAGAAAGTGTGTAACATTTAGAATTTCCCTTAAATTTCGGTTTTAGGAGTGTAGAAGTAGTTAATTTAGTAATTTGTAAATTTTTTAATTTACATTGTGAAATTCGAATTTTACTCTTTAATTTAAATAGTCGAATTTAAGATTTTAATTTCGCAATTATAGTTATTTCGAATTTCAAAATTACTAGTTATTTTGGTAACTTTTAAGATTTTAATTTAGATTGTGAATTTAGAATTTTACTCTACATTGTGAAATCGGAAGTTTAGAGTTGTACTTAGCTATAAAAATCTAGAAATTTAGAAATTGTGTTACATTTAGAATTTGAGTTAAAATTCGATTTTATGACGTTACAAGTTGTTACTTTAGTAATTTTTTATTTTTTTGTGTTAGGTTGTGAAATTAGAATTTTAGAGTTCAATTTAGCTATAAATATCTACAAATTTAAAAATTGTGTTACATTTAGAATTTGTGTTAAATTTCGAATTTAGTAATTTATAACTACTTATTTTAGGAATTTCAAATGGAGCAAAACATTCCGCGTCCAGGGCCTGTTAACCGTTCACTACTCACGTTGCCACTGCGTGCCCATCGTGCGGGCCGTATATGGTATGAACTGAATTCCAAAGACTCGTGCTTGAAATGCGCCAGTTGCCCTTCAGCTGCATTCGGAGTTGAAGAGCGAGATCCAAGAGTGATAGGTATGTTAGCATATGCTGGCTTCTTGGGGGTAGAGCACATTGCCCGTATGAAGGTGGATCATAGTTTAATATGCGCTTTGGTGGAGAGATGGAGGCCGGAGACACATACTTTCCATCTTCCATTCGGTGAGGTCGGCATTAGTCTACAAGATGTGGCGATGATCCTTGGTTTGCCCATTCGGGGTATGCCCCTCAGTGGTCCAACCGTTAAGGGTAAGGCTCAGTGGATCGACCTGTGCACGCAGTCGTGTGGTTTCACTCCTCTAGAGACTGATATGCGCACGAGTGATATCACCATGAGTGCTCTTACCCGTCACCAGATCCTACCTGACAGTACAGACGAAGAGGTCACCGAACACACCAGAACCCTAATATGGCAATTGCTTGGAGGCCTTTTGTTCCCTGACACGAGTGGGACAAGAATACGATTATACTTTTTGGAGGTCTTGCAGGGTGACTTGGCTTTAGCCCGTCGATGGAGTTGGGGATCAGCGGTTCTCGGGTACCTCTACCATAACTTGTGCAACGGTGCCAAGTGGGAAACCAAACAAGTTGGCGGTTGTATGCACTTGTTACAGATTTGGGCTTGGTCGAGGATTTCGATGGTCCGTCCCTCAGTAGTTCAGGTCATTCAACATGACCATCTTCCATATGGGTGCAGGTATGTTGGCAATTACATCTTAATAATTGAGAATGCGTTATATGACGTTAGAGTTTTTAAATTCATTTCGGTAATAAATAAATGTAGGTGGATCGTCCCCAAGTCATATAAGGGATCCCCAAGACACTGCATATGCCTGTACCGGGATGACCTAGACCGAATGAGTGAGAGTCAGGTAGTACTTCAAATTTTTACTTCCACCGTACTATTCAATTTTTAATACACATTGTTTTATACTGGTTAAATTGCAAATTAAAATTTTTACAGTTTGATTTCACTCCCTACGCGTCCGAGGAACTCCCACCTATCATCCTTAATGACGCTCCGCTTTGGTCGGCTAGGGTCATGCTCATATTTTGCAATATGGCCGAAATGCATTACCCCGATCGATTTCTTCGGCAGTTCCATATAAGGCAAGATACTCCGGATGCTCCTTTGGCGGGTACTGATCATCACGGCAATCGTTCCAACATAGTAACCGGTGCCTTGGCGTTGTGGGCGGACATACAACATAATATATACTTTCTTGATTATGATCGACATATGTCCGTCGAAGCAACTAAGAGGTACCGAAAATGGTACCAGAAGCATGGTATGACACGTGTCCAGAACCCTTCTCACAATGTGCCCACGACAGGCTACATCCCGACATCACACGATTGGGGTATTGTGGTAAGTTTTTGAATACATACTATATTCATTAACATATATCATGTCATATTATTTACACGTGTTACATTTTTATGCAGAGGCAGAGCTTTTACGAGCTGAATCAGCTCTTAGCCGACCGCGCAAGTCATGAGGACTGTCAAAAACGACTACAGCGGATGGCCCTGGACGTAGGTGATGAAGAGATGCTCCGCCGGGGCATATTCCATTATGAAGATGAAGATGAAGATGAAAGTGGAAGTGACGAAGAGGATGATGCAGATGAACATGAAGGTGGGGGTGAGCACTCACAATCGCCCCCTCAATTTTCAACACGTGAGGGTGTCTCATTTGATCAACCACACCCTCAATTCTCAACGCATCAAGGTGTCTCATTTGATCAACCACCGCCGTATTATGATTCTTATCAGTACTCCACACAAGCGGTTGATTATGTTGATTCATTTCTGGATTCGTCGTCGTTTTACTATGGAGACACAATGGGGCCTTGGAACACTAGCGGTGGGGACGGAGCAGGGCCGAGCACGCAACGTTAGATGTAGTATCATTAAATTTATATTAATGTATGTACTATCTATTTATTAATAAATTACATTGAAACCTACATTTGTTTTGTTCACTTTCATTAAATTTACAAATCGCATTTAAAACAAATTCAAATTTGTATCTCATTTTATGAATTTTATTCACAATACAAATGGATTTAAAAAAATAAAATTAAAAACTATAACTTTAGGCCAATTTAAAAATTAAATTGGCGACTAATTAAAAAAAGAGAAATTCGGCCAATTTAAAAATTTAAACATGAATGAAATTGGCCAATTTAGTTTAAAACTTTAGTTGGAAATTAAAAACTTTAATTTAAAAAATAATAAAAACTTCCTAGTTGGAAGTGGTAGATCCGACATGAGAGAATTTAAAAGTTTAGTTTTAAAAAACTTTGAAAATGAAAAGCGGCCAAAAAATTAAAAAAAAAAAACCGTCGAAATTGGCTAATCTGACTGGAGGGAGGAAATTGTTTTTTCGAAACCCTAATCCCTGGTCGGAAGTTGCAGTTCCGACTCCCATATTTTGGTAAACCCTACATAAATCCCCGTTTTTTGGCAAGTATATCCCACTTTTCCCGTGTTTTGGTAAAACACCCTCTCCGCCCATGTCTACTGAGCTGTCGTCACCCACTCGAGCACCACCATGTTGTCGACCTTAGCCGCCCACCGTAAACATCACTTCTCCACTGAAAGCACGCTCCCATGACCTTTTGCCTTCATCTCCCCTCACCTTCTCACACAACAATGAATAGTGACGGACTCAAGGTTTTGGCACTGCATTACTTTGCACCGATCAAATGATCACTAATGATGCATCTACCACCAGCGACGACCACCACTCGGTTTACAAGTCCTTTGATTGCTTGATTTTGTTGAGTGTGTCTCAGAAAAACGAAGAAATATTAATTAAATAAAATTAATTAATAAATAAAATAGCCAAAGAAAAATGGAAAATAGATGGAACAAAAATTAGTAAAAACTCGTGCGTATTAAAGCGTACTCGTTGCCTCCCTAGGTGCTAGGAGCGTTGCAACGATCGTTTCCCAGGATACGATGACTACGAACAATTGTTTGAGCACTCAACAAATTCTTCCAGCGAACGGAAACCAAGTATGAACACTTAGGAATATTTTCGGAATACCGGAGGAGTGTTTTAGCTCTAAACGTTTGTGCTAACTGTATTGTGAGATGTGTTGTTGCAAAACACCTGCCAGATATATATACGGACGGATTTGTGGTGTGTTAACTGAGATTTAATGGACCTGAACATTGGACATAAATGACCAACCTTGGGCCTTAATATGTCGAAAACTGTCCATTTAAAGAAGCATTAAAAGAACCGAACGATGGGCATTTAAAGGTTGTAATGCCTTCGAGCAGTTCTGGTGCGACCATACCAGAAGCGGAGCGTTTCTAGTGAGAACAGACCCCCCTTCTGGTTCGGACAGAAGCGGAGTAGTTCTGGTTCTGTCGCGAACAGAGATCAAGTGATTATGCCACACAAATATTAAATTGTATCTTTGAAAGATAGATTTTTGGATGACATTCGTGTCTGCAGGTCGCTCACGCACGCAAGTCGCGGTTTTTCTTCTCCGTTTTCGGGATTTGATCGGCACCCTCGTGCACGTGAAGAGAGCTCTTCCACCTAGGAATATTAACTCCTTCAAAGAGGGTTCCCTTTATAAGGTGGCGAAAATCCCTTGGGTTTTCCAGTGTGGGATAAATCCCACTAGAAATCTATCATTTTCCCAATTTTTCCGTTTCAATGAGTGAACTTCGAGAATCAATTTCTCATTCACCGTTATCCGTTTTGAGTGTACCATATATCAAATTGTAGCCCTTAACAAGGACAATCCGAAACCACTTTGACCCGACCCAAATCGGAAGTGGACCCCACTCAAAATGTTGCCCCAAATTGACCATTTAATGCAATTTTAACATATTTTCCCAACAGATTGTTCATAGAATCCTCCTAGATAGTCATAGACGTTGTGGATGGTCAGCTCATCCAAGTCCTTTGATTGCTTGATTCTTTTGGTGGTCTTCCTTCATTCAAGTTTCAAAAATCGCAGAAAGCGTAGATTGACTTCCATGTTAGTCTTTTGAATGTTGATCTTCCTCATTTCATTAAGGACCATCAGATAGTGCTGATATGTGTCTACCAAGTCTTCTTCAACTCTTGCGGTGAACGAGTCATATGCAGTAAGAGTGTGAGCTCATTTAGTCTTAATCCCAACATCAACTCCTTACATATTCGATATGATGAATCTCATACAACATTTCTTTGGTCGTTGTGAGGCTGTCAATTTGCATAAGATATCATTAGGGATGGATTGCAGCATATATGTTGTTGCAAGGAGATCAACCCTAGTTCTTAGCTTTTCTGATTCAGTATACTCGCTCTCAGGTTGTAGAACTTTGCTTGGAAGAAGTGGAGGATTGTTAGTAGGGTCGCCTGTAACATCTATCCAATATTCAATCGGTCCTTCTTTGAGAGAGGTAAGAATATTCGGACCATTTTCTCTACTTCGTATGAAATTCAGAAACCTGGCCTTCACCTCTCCTTGGAATATGAGGCCTGGAATCACTATCCATTGTGTAAGCATCTGTGTTGAAAAGTTTGACTACTGACTGATCGTAGATGTGTACTGAATTGATATTTAATGGCGAAGAAGTTCACGCACAGAGACAACAAAAAGGTCACGTGTTCCAGATGGCGAAGACAATCATCGAAGTTGTCTTTCGCAAACTGGTATTTCGAAGTGGATGGCGAAGCTAGCTTTCACAAACTGGTATTGTGAAGTGGATGGTGAAGCTGGTGGTTCACGGTCATGTCAAATTAGGAGCTCCGCGATCTGTGAATTACAGAGCCTCATGATCTTCTTTTGGATAAAAATGGCGATGCCTGATAGAATGGCGTACACTGCCTGCGATCTATTGAGTACGGAACTTCGAGATTTGCTTTTCTTCTTCATTGCGAATACAGATTACCTCTTCTGCTCTGATACCAATTGTAAATTCCTAGTTCAATAGTCGAATAACAAAATAATGGTGAATCGTAAATTATACGTAAAACAAATAAGATCAAACAACAACTTTATTGAAAATCATAATGATGAATAGATGAATAACAAAGTATCAATAGAGAAGTGTTTAGAGAGAGAACGTGTGTGGGTTTCCTATAGAATGATGTGCGGAAATAATTGTAGTGGAAACCTCAGGTTGTTCGGTCCATCATCCTTGTATTTATAGAGGGATGGTCAAACATCTTAATTACATAAGGATGGTCCAAATTAATCAATTTACATCATCGTTCTTGTAAATTTTTGTGATTATCCGCTCAGTATAAGTACAATCTAACTCTCTTTGTATATTCTTGCACCAAACTTTTCTTCCATGTAGACACGCCTATTAACATTATCAAAACCCAAAAAAGTCCTAATTGATCTATTTGTGTCATTTTTTGAATTTAGCGGATTGGAGAAACTTGTTCTGCATAACCCGAACTAATTTAGATCTATAGGTGTTTGTGTTAAAAGTAGAAAAGAAGATGGAAAAAACACAAGACAAGATTTGAATCCGCGACCTAAGAGCAAGAATTAGAACTTCATCTGTTGGGTTGCTGGACGTTTTTGAAACATTTACGCGCTTCCTTGTACATAAATTTATCTGTTCCATAAATTCCAGCAATTAATGATTAATCACCTTATCATTATATTGCCTTAATCCATCTCCCTCCACACATAAGCTCGAACCAACTTCTCTCTAAACATCCCAGAAACATTTCCTCTCCCTTCTCTCTTCATTTCTCAACCCCAAATCATCAACTCATCTTCAACCACAATTAATCACTTTCTCATCCAAGATTAAGTCAAGATTAGCATCAAAGCTCCAAGGATTGTCATCTAACACAAGTTTGATCTTCCTTATCTCATTAAATCTTGTACTTTAATCATGGATTCATCTATTTCTATGCTTCCCAACATGTATAGCTAAATAAATTTGGGGCTAGAAATTGGTTAATTAATTGTTCTTATCATGTTTTAATTTGTATTGATTTTAATTGTTAAGTTTGTTCTATTTAGATTAATGTGTCCAGAAAATTAATTATGTTGTGTTTGTGATATATATTATGAGTACTCAATCATAAACATATTGTTTGTTAAATACACAAATGAACAGTTTCTGAACACACCGTTAAACTTCTTTTACCTTGTTCCGGATTGAAGTTTTACGGGAAAATTTAATTATTTAATTATATTATTTACACCACGGGGTTGGGTAATAATATAGTTAATAATTAAGGTTGTCGTTGCACTTAAACAACTAGTCTCGTTTTGGCCATCACTGGGAAATGTTGACTAGTTACTTATTTTAGGTGACTTGTGTTAGGTCCTAAAATATTTATTTACAACTTCTCACAATCTATCTAAAAATAAAATTAGCAATTATGTCTTTCAAATGAGCATTGAACAATTAGTTACCAATTTCTACCCCTATTTGCTATGGGTTGAACTTTGTGTTGATAAAAATCTCTTCTCTCAATCACTTTTATTTAATTACTTTTCCAAGCAAACAAAAATAAAAAGAAACACATTCCCAACTTGACCTTTTTATTTGAATATTACTAAGAGAAACCCAAAATACAAATATATGACCACTTTCAAAAGTTTCTAAAAAAGTGACTTAAGTATACGTTATACTCAAGTCCCCAAGTCCCATTTAATAAATTAATGTCATATATTTAATAAATTAATACTGCATTTATTGTTTTAAAATTACATTTTTAATAATATAAGAGTAACTAATGTAACCGTACAATCTCACCCCAAGTCCCACCCCTGCATCCGACCATCCATTATAGGTCATATTGTCCGCCGCTGCCGCCGACGATAGTTATCACCACTGTCATTTTCATAGTCACTAACGTAACTCTAGTCACTAAAGTTCTAGTTACCACATTATCCTGGTGCTCAGTGACTCGCATTCTGATGTTTA